TGGAAGGACCTTGTTCCTTATAAGCACACAGACTTTACAACATAGGATTGAACAAAGAACATCAGCATGTCACCATGACATTGACTTGCTCAATCATGCCTGCAGCCTTTCAGATTTTTTACTGGTTGTGGTGGGATTTTTAGTAACCTAGAATTGTCTTTTTGTCCTCATGTCTCGCCTTGTTTGTCCAAAATCAAATCACCTATTAACTTAAAGTGCACAGTTCTCATATTCTGCCCTGATGATAGATTTTTTTTTATGGAAAGTATCTCAAGGTTAGTAAGGAGCGCCAGCTACATCACTCTGAGTCCTGATAGTGTGGCTGCCATCAGAGTTCTGGAGGAGTGATCTTAGTTTTTTGTTTTGCTTGTGACCCACACAAATAATTGCAGGATTATGTCATGCTGCACTTTGTTCTTGTTTTCCATACTGCTCTGATTTTTATTGCCATGTTCTCATTTTCTCAGAGCAGCCTCCCTTAATTGCTATTACTGTAGATCGTCCAAAGCATATTATTTAAAGATCAGCTTTTTCATTGATTTACAAAGCTGCACTTTGACTTGACATTTTTACGTTTTGAGGCTTATTTTTCTAATTACAGCTGAAAGGATATTTCAAATGAGTATCATATAATGTGGGAGCCAGAACCCCAGGGCAACAGGTTTTGTGTTAGTTTCTGTGCTTGAACTATGCAATCAGTTTTTTATTGTGATTGATTAATTTTTGTTTGGGACTGTTGGGGAATAAAAGATTTATCATCTAGAATAACATGCTCAGCTCAGTATTTTTCATACATATGAACTAGTCAGCCACTGATGTAAACATCTGTACATTATAAATTATAAATTAAACTGAACACTAAATATCCAATCTCAAAGCATTTCTAAAATTGTACACATGAAGTTGCAGGTGTTTTGTTTATGGACTGTATAGTTTATATGTGAGATCTAGTCATTTGTCCATCTGTCTAATATAGTGGTTCTCAACCAGAAGTGCATGTACCCAGAGTCTTCAAAAGGATATATCAACTCATTTAAATATTTGCCTAATGTTACAACAAGGTACAGGCAGTCCCCGACTTACGCGGATCCGACTTATGTCGGATCCACAATTACGAACGGGGCTTTTCTCGCCCCGGAGGACGCGGGACCGCCCAAACGCGCCGCGGTCCCTCGGTCCTGCCGCCCACGTCCTCCGGGGCGAGAAAAGCTGCTCCGCATTTCCCTGGTCTGCTGGGAGGGAAGTCCCCAGCAGACCAGGGAGACGTGGAGCAAAGCCACAGAGGACGCGGGTGGCGGGACAGCCCAGACACGCCGCGGTCCCACTGCCCGTGTCCTCCGAGGCTTTTCTCCGCGTCTCCCTGGTCTGCTGGGGGAAACCCCCCAGCACACCAGGGAGACGCGGAGTAAAGCCTTGGAGGACGCGGGCAGCAGGACAGCCCAGACGTGCCGCAGTCCCGCTGCCTGCGTCCTCCGCGGCTGTGCTCCGCGTCTCCCTGGTCCTCCTCGGCGCTACTGGACCAACCCAGCAGCACCCCAGCTGCTCTACCCCAGGCGTTGGCGAGAAAAGCCTGATCTGCTGGGGGGGGGGCACTAGCTGCGCCCTCTCCCCCAGCAGACTAGGGAGACGCGGGTGGCAGGACCGCCGAGACGCGCCGTGGTCCCACCCGCATCCTCCGCGGCTTTGCTCTGCATCTCCCTGCGCTGCTGGGGGGGGGGCTTCCCGCCCCCCCGGGCCCGGCGGGGGGGAGGGGAGGCTGCCCCCAGCAGACCAGGGAGACATGGAGCAAAGCCGCGGAGGACGCGGGCAGTGGGACAGCCCAGACCGGGACAGCCCAGCGGGACAGCCCAGTGGGACAGCCCAGACCGGGCAGCGGGACCACGGCGCGTCTGGGCTGCCCCGCTGCCCACGTCCTCCGAGGCTTTGCTCCGCATCTCCCTGGTCTGCTGGGAGGAGGCTGACTTGGGGACACCTGGGGTAGAGCTGCTGGGGTGCTGCCGGGTTGGTTCCCGCAGCGCCTGAGCGCTGCGGGGACCTACCCGGCAGCGTCCCAGCTGCTCTGTCCTAGGCATCCAGATTCAGCCGCTGTTGAAACTGATCAGCTGCTGATTCCAGGAAGCCCAGGGCAGAGCAACTCTGTCTTGGGCTTCCTGTAGTCAGCCGCTGGTCAGTTTCAGCAGCGGCTGAATCTGGATGCCAGTTCCGACTTACATACAAATTCAACTTAAGAACAAACCTACAGTCCCTATCTTGTACGTAACCCGGGGACTGCCTGTACATGAAAAGCACTAGCAAAGTCAGTACAAACTAAAATTTCATAGAGAATGGCTTGTTTGTACTGTTCTATACACTACATACTGAGATGTAAGTACCATATTTATATTCCAGTTGATTAATTTTATAATTATATGGTAAAAATAAGAAATCGAGCAATTTTTCCATAATAGCATGCTGCGACATTTGTATTTTTATGTCTGATTTTGTAAGGAAGTAGTTTTTAAGTGAGGTGTAACATGGAGGGCAGGGTGCACAATGCAAATCAGACTCTTGATAATAGGGATACAGTATTCTGAAATGGTTGAGAGCCCTGAGCTAATGCATTTGTCTGTTTAAACTGTGATGTCCATCTCTATAATGTGTAGCTGCGGGCTTCCAGAGCATCTTTATTATGGCTCATGTGCACTGCAGTTTATCATCTGTGTTCTAACACCATTAATCTGCAAGGTGACAGCTCCACTTGATTCTAACTAATTGCCATCTTGTCTTGAGTGTTGCACGTTTTGAAGGAAGTGACATAGATGTCTGTGGTGTAGCAGCTCTGGTGCCATCTAGTCTTTTGATTTCCTTGACCCATTTGTAGAGTAATCATCAAATAGCAATGCTTGTGTCCTACAGTGATTGGCTTAGATTTGACCTGCTGTTCACAGTTTATTTTCTCCCTTTGCTTATTCTTGTAATAAAGTTACAGTATTGGATTTGTTTTGTCACGATAATTTGCATGGCAACTGTTAGAGCCCTGTGCAGATACAGAATTTGTATCCGCATATATGCCACAGAGATCTGCATCCACATCCATGGGTGAAGATACCCGCGTATATAAAGTGGATATCCACAAATGTGGAAGGTTCTAGATACAAAATTTGTATCCACATCCGTATCCACAAAAATAAGACACAGATATCTGAATCCACATCTATGGATATGGTTACCCGTGGGTATAAAGTGGATATCCTCGGATTTGCAGGGCTCTAGCATTAGTGCCTAGATACCACATAGATGGGTTGATGGGTGTAATATAAATTTCCAGCAGAATAACTATGATGTAGAGATTATGCTACATTGTAGTGCCAAAGGATGATTGGTTTCTGAGCATCAGGGTCATATGTTGTGTTACGGTTTGTTTGTTTTTTACTTGCACAGTTGTTTGGATCAAT